TGGTGCTGCAGACCAGCAGAGAAATGCTGTCCCAAACAGCGTTTTATGTGTTTATTAATTTTTTTTCTTTTGATTTAAAAAAAAACCATTAATGCCGTTTTTTAATCCCAACTTTCACCAATTTATTTTTATTAATCCCAACTTTGGATTATTCCTCAATAATCCCAACTTTAAGGTGGGTTATCATTCTTCAATCCCAAAAACCGGTTACCGGTTGAATGGGTTAATTTTATTTTTTATTTTTAAAGTGACACGTGTCACAAATTAATTGGTAAAAAAAAAAAAAAAAATTCCACCCAGCCCAACCACCTTCCACGTTGCCCCACCAGCTCAACCCCCTGCCTGGACCCCAGCCGGAACGCCGCGCCAACCACCTTCCCCCTCCCCCTCCCCCTGAACCGCCGACTCCCCTTCCCCTCACCCTGAAACGACCAACCACCCCCGAAACCTCTACGCAACCGCCAATAAAACCCTTCCCCTTTTCGAAAACTTCCAACCACCACTCCGGTTACCCCGAAACCCTAGCGGCTAGGGTTTTCGACGGTGACGAAGTGGCTGTTGGGGGTTTTTGGGAGTGGGGAGGGGTTTGGAGGGTGTTTCGAATGGTTGGAGAGGTTTTAAACGAAGTTTTGGTTGTGGTTGGCGGAAAATCGAATCGGAAAAGGTATCGTGGCGGCGTTAGAAGGGCGGTGGCGGTTTCCAAGGTGTGGTTGAGGTGGGTGGGGGCGACCGATTTTAGGTGTTAAAGTTGGTTTGGTGGCAAAATCCGGCGGCGGGAGGCTGGGAGGAGGTGGCTCGGGGGCTTGCAGGGGAGAAGGGCCACCACTGGTGGCTGCGTGGCTGGATGTTTAGATTTTTCTTTTTTCTTTTTTTTTGTTTTTTTTAAGACCAATCCAAAAAAAATTTCTTTTTCTTTTTGTTTTTTTTTTAAAAAAAAAATTGGTTCAGTAAAAAAAAAAATGGACCACTCACGTGGCGACACGTGTCCAACAGCCTACAATAGAAGGTTGTTGACTTTTGTTGACCGGTTTGGGTATGAAGAATGATAACCCACGTTAAAGTCGGGATTATTGAGGAATAATCCAAAGTTGGGATTAATAAAAATAAATTGGTGAAAGTTGGGATTAAAAAATGGTATTAATCCTTTAAAAAACAGAAATTACAAAATTTTTATTCAAAAAAGTCAACAACTAAAAACGCTGTCCCAGCAGCGTTTTTCAATTGAATTTTTTATATAAAAAAAAAAACAGGGCATAAAACGTTGTCCAAGACAATGTTTTACCCTGGAAGCTTAGTTTGGTAAATACTTTTGCCACACAACAATTTTGGTATTTATTTTGTCAATTGGGCTTAGTTTGGAGAAAAGTCCAAATTCCTAGTTCCTATTATAGGACTTGATTCTGATCTTGATTATATATATATATATATATATATATATATATATATATATATATACATATATATGTATATATATATATATATAGATATATATATATATATATATATGTATATATAGATATATATATACATATATATGTATATATATATATGTATATATATATATACATATATACATATATATATATATATATATATACATATATATATATATATATATATATATATATATATATATCGGTTATTTCATGAAATATCACTAAACAATTTCAAAATTCACCAAATGCCATTGAAAAATAGCACATTGACACCCCGTGCCATTAATGAGGTCTGGACGTTAGTTGGCCGTTGCTGCGAAAATACCATTTTGCCCTTTAATGTATTTAATGGAGCCATAAAGCACACTGACCCTCTGATTCCTCGATTATCAAATATTAATGTTCTTCATCAACCTTGTTCTTCCTTAACTTCTCCCCTGTTCTTCGAGGTTTCACCATCATTCAAACCTTCAAATTTATGAATAAGGAAGAAGCGTACCGTAACCACTGAATGTCCCTCGCAACAAGATTCAAGCTTTGGCTGTTGTTGATTCTGGGCGAACCAAAAAGCGGTCACAAGTAGTGGAAGAAGTCGAAGGAAATCGATAGTTTTGAATTTTTTTCTGAGGGATTGGAGATAGCACGCAAGGTAATAATCTCTCTATCGATCTTCATTTCGCGTATTGGTTCTGGTTATTTTTGCAAAAATTGAGTTAGGGTTAGGGTTTTCTCAAATGATCAGTGTATGTGTTTATTTGAATTGACCTTTGTGAATTATTGTGAATAATCATGATCAAAACCTCAGTTATGTGTATGAATCTGGCAATGTGTGTATTGGTATGTTATGTTTTGTGTTTTTCCCAGTATTTGAGTCCTAGAAGTGAAATTTTTTTAGTTGATCAGGATATTTGGCTTGGTATGTGTTCGTTGATATGAATGATGTGTGTTGATGGTCAGTAAAGTAATATGTCATTTGTTGTTGATAGGATGAGTACAATGTGGCTTAATGACCATTACAAAGATCAGGGCTTTGATGTATTCATTGAGGATACTGACAGAACTAGTCTAATGGACTTGTATGAGTACATGTTTGAGGATTCTGTGAAGCAAAATGTGATCCTCCCTAAATACTTTAGTTTGTATGTACTGCCACCTAGAACTAATAGAAAGTTTGAGTTATGTGGGGATAGTCAAATGCTGAAAATGTGGGAGTGGTATGAAGGTATGGAAACAATAGAAGTGTTCTTAGAGGAAAAGGATAGTCCTAGTTTGGTGTTTAAGGATGCTGAAGCAAGTTGGCAAAAAAGGGTTAAGGCATTGGCTGAGAAGGCTAGATTAGATCAGGAAAAGGCCTAGAGGATGGCTGAAGAAGAGGAAGCTGCCAGGGAGCTTAGGGAACAACAACATTTTACAATTGCAGTTGAGGTTCCTGTTGTTAATGTTGATGACTCAAATGTTGAGTATTTTAGAGTGTTTGACACTGAAGTAGCTGATGAGGCTCTGGGGCATCTCAGCCTGAGCCAGAACAAAGTACTAAGCCCTCAACTCCACCTAAACACTCTAAAGCAACTTCTCCTATGAACCAGCCCAAAACCACATGTTCTAGGAAGAAAATGACTCATAGGAAAAGGAAAAGCACACAAAAAAAAGGCCAACTCAAAGATCCCAACCTTCCCCTCAACCACAAACATCCCAACCTTCTGCTGAACCAACAACAGTGTCACCACCAGTTTAACCTGAACCAGAGACAACACCAATTGTATCTCAACCCCAACCTCCACCATCTACTTCAGCCAAAAAGGGAGGTAGATCAAGACTTGAGGGATTCAGGTCAAAAAAGAGTGCTTCAAAAAAGGGGGAAAGTGTTACTTTAAGGAGATAAAAAAGGAACAGAGCAACAGATGATGTTGTGGGAAATGAGGAGAGGTCTGATGAGTCTAGCAGTGATGGTGATAGTGAAGATGATGATTACATACTATCTGGCAGTGAGGAAGATGATGATGAGGCAAATATTGCTGACTTCATAGAGGATGAGACAGAAATGGATTGCCTTCATGATGACATTCCTAACAAGCAATTTGAGGATTACTTTGATGGCAGTTCAACCATATATAAGACCTATAAGAATGGTAAAATTTGGAGCTATCAAGAGTTTGGATCCATCAGATTAGAGCCATGGTTGATATTTGGAGACAGAAAATCATTTCTTGATGTGTTCAAGGACTATTGTGCACAGGAAGGGTTTGTTGTTTATGTTGAAAAGAGTGACAAAACAAGATTGATAGCAAGGTGTGCTATAGAGAATTGCTACTGGAGGATTCATGCCTCCACAATGATGGATAAGGTTAGCAGGGCAATCAAGAGTTTGACAGGGGAGCACAGAAGTTGTGGGAGGTTGGAAAGAAACCCAATAGTGAGTTATGAGTGGTTGTGTAGGCATCTGCAGTTAGACATTGAAGCCAATCCTGACATTCTAGTTGAGTCTTTACAGAGAATCTGTATGGAAAGGTTTAGGCTTGAAGTGAAGAAAAGGCTGTTGTACAAGGTCAGGGCAATGTCCAAGGAGATCATCCATGGACATTTTGGAGAGGCATATTCACTGTTGCCTAGGTATGCTGAAATGGTGAAAGAGACTAACCCAGGTAGTTATGCTCTTGTGACATGGGATGAACCTACTACAACTGAGCCTCCAAGATTCAAGGCTTGTTTTTTTTCTTTTGCTGCCCAAGTTAGGGGATTCTTGAGAGGTTGCAGACCTTTCATTGGCATTGATGGGGCCCATCTAAGTGGACATTTCAAGGGAATATTGTTAACTGCAGTTGGGATTGATGGGAACAATGAGATTTTTCTCATTGCCTATGGAGTGGTTGGTTCTAAGAGTGTTGACAGCTGGGGGTATTTTATGAGGAATTTGAAAATACTTTTTGAGAAGGAAGGGTGCAGGAAAGATGATTGGACCTTCATCTCTGATAGAATGAAGGTAAGCCACATGGAAACTAGTTTGTGACATTTGATTTACTGTTTTTTCCTTATGTTGAACTGTCAGCCATTAAACTATTTTCTTTGCAGGGTGTTGACACAACAATTTATGAAGCATTCCCCAGAGAAACTAGAAGAGTGTGTTGCCAGCACCTGTACATGAATTGCAAGGCCAATGGTTTCAGTGGTTCAGCCTTTCATAAGCTTATCTGGATAGCAGCTAATGCATACAATGAGTATGTATTCAATAAAGCAATGCAAAAAATTCAAGAGTACAATCTTAAGGCTGTTGATCGAATACTTAGAGAGCTGCACTGAGATCTGGTCAAGACATAAGTTTGATCCTACACTTTGTTATGACCATAACACAACAAATTTTGCGGAGTCTTTCAACTCATGCACCAAGCCCTATAGAGATTTACCTGTTGTGAAAATACTTAAAGGTATTCACTTCCACTCAATAACAACTTACAATAAGACAAGTCCCCTGTTTCTTGTTTTAATAATGTCTTTGCATAATATTTTGAAGGTATAAGGCAATGGGGCATGAAGAGGATTGGCTCAAGGTTTGACAAAGCTGCAAGCATGGGGGATATGAACCTGACTGAATATGCAGCCAAGATTCTGCAAACAAGATCAGATGAGTCCAGGTTGTGCTATGAAACCCCCTATGGTGGTGATGAGTTTGAGGTGATAGACCAACATGTTCATTTTCCCATCAAGCTGAACACTGGCAGTTGTGGTTGTGGGAAGTGGCAACATTCTGGACTCCCATGCAAACATGCACTAAGGGTGATTTACCACCAGAGGTTGCAACCTATAGACTTTGTAGCCTCTTGTTTCAAAGGGAAGGCATACAAGCTCACTTATGTTGAGCATATGCACCCAATGCCTGACCCATCTCAATGGCCATCACTGAACCTGCCTAACATACTACCACCATTGGTGAAAAGAGCTGCAGGGCGACCAAAAAAGCAAAGGAGAAGAGGGCCAAATGAAGCAAGGAAAGGGAAGAGGCATTCAACAGTTAAGTGCAGCTTATGCAAAGAGTTGGGGCACAACATGCTGACTTGTGCATCAAGGAAAAAAAGCGCTGCAACTGAAGCAAGCACATCAACCACCTCCTCTCAAGCCAAGAAGAAAAGAAAGAGAGCAGCATGAATGCATATCCACTCATGTTTTTAATGCACAACCAGTTTATTCATGTCATTTTTGAACATTAACAGTGTAGTGTGTGCTGTGTTGTCTGGTTTCTTTTGACATAGCCTTGTAATTTGAACAGGAAGCAATCTTTTGGGAACATGATTTGAACAACAAGCAATATTTTGGGCACATGATTTAATTTCCCTCTTTATTAAATTTCATTGCAATTACAATAGTTCACTTCATCATTAAAATCACCATTATTACACACATCAGTACCCCTAATTTCATAATACAATCGAGCACTTTTAATTTGTTGTTGCTTGATTTTCTTCTTCAACTGTTTCAACTCTTCATGGAAATTGCTTTGTCCAGAGCCATCCCTTGCATAACAACTTCTCCTGCTCTGACCTTCTTCATGCATCTGAACCTTGCACCATTTGAAGCTATCAAATGAATCACACTTATAATACAGCCTTTGTGGATTAGATGTTGACTCTGAGATTCTAATTGCATATTTCCTACCACAATTGCAAAATTTATTTGGAACCTTGACATATGCATACTCATGTTTTGAGGAGGATGTGTTTGATATGAAGCTCATGATTATGCAAAAAAGATCTACTATGTGTGTTTTAGCACTACTAGAAATAGGGCAACTTACGACGGATGTGTTCCGACGGACACGAAAATCCGTCGAAAAAAAACGTGATTTATGAGGGATTTAAGTTCCGTCGGAACTTTCCGACGAACTTAGATTATTTCCGACGGAATTCAAATCCATCGGAAAACACTTAGCTTCCGACAGAATTTTCCGTCTGAAGCTAAGTGTTTTCCGAGGGATTTCAAATCCGTCTATACTTTCCGACAGAATTATATACCATTCCGACGGATTTTGAAAAAGAAAAAAAACAAAAACGGGTTTAAAATCAAAAACCCTACTCTTTCTCCCTTCACGCCTCTTTTCTCTTTCTCTCTCCTCTGTTCTTTCCTCTTCCCCTCTTTCTCCTTCCTTTCCTTCTCCTTCTTTCACCTTCCTTTCCTTCTCCTTCTTTCACCTTCCTTCTTCTTCTATGGCGGCGGCGCCCTTACTCTATCGTCTTCCTCTCCTTCTCCTTCCTCTCCTTCCTTTCCTCTTTCCCTCTTTCTCTTTCCTTTTCCCCTCTTTCTTTTCATTTTCAGTTTGGGTTTTTTTGGGTTGCAATTCAAAGTAAATTCAAGATTTTCAAGAAAATCAAGGTTTTCATGGTCGAATTGACCTTGTAAACCCAATTTAGACGGTTTTTTTTTTTTTTTTTTTCAAAATTTAGGTATGTGTCTCTTTTTTCTTCTTAATTAACTTGTTTATTTTTCTGATTTTTTTGAATTATGGTGTTGTTGAATTATGGATTTTTTTTATGTTTTTTTGGTGGTTTCCGTGGTTGTTTTGGGTGGTTTCGGTGAGGTGGGTGGTGGGTTTGGGGAGGTGGTGGGAGGTGGGTTTCAAGGTGGTTTCGGTGGGTTTCGGGGAGGTGGTGGTTTCTGGGTTTCGGGGAGGATCCGGGGAGGTGGGTTTCGAGGTGGTGGTTTCGGGGAGGTGGGTATGGTGAGGTGGGTTAAGTTAGGGAGGTGGAGAGGCGGGTTAAGGTGGTAGGGGATGTGTGGGTGGTGGTTTGGGTGTGTGAGGGGTCTGTGTGGGGGGAGGGGGGTGGGTGGTGTGGGCTGGTGGAGGGGGTGGGTCTGGGTGGGGAATTTTTTTTATTTTTTTTATGACTTTTCCGACGGAAATTTCCGTCGGAAGTAAGTAGATTCCGACGGAAAATTCCGCCGGAAGTGGTTTATTCCGACGGAATTTTCCGTCGGAAGGTAACTCATACCGACGGAAATGATCCGTCGGAACCTTGCGACGAACTTTCCAATTATGTCAAACCTGACTCCGATAGAACAAAATCCGTCGGAATGGACCTTTCCGACGGAATTTCCCTCGAAATATCCCGAAATTCCTACAAAAGGTATTGCGACGATGCCTTCCGACGGAATTCCGTCGAAAATGGGCATTTCCGACGGAATTTCAGGGTTTTCCGACGGATTTTTTCCGTCGTTGATTGGCTGTTATCTAGTAGTGTAGTGCACTATTTATATACCAAATTGGGTGCAACGGCTACATTTTCCCAAATAAAATTAAAAAAAGGTCACACAAACTAGCCGTTACAATGAGTATGTTTACAGGTATTTTGTGTAAATATTTACAAAAGTAATGGCATTTGGTGAAATATATAAACTCCACAATGGCATTTCATGAAATAAGATTTTCAGTAACGGCCAACTAACGTCCAGACCTCATTAATGGCACGGGGTGTCAATATGCTATTTGTCAATGATATTTGGTGAATTTTGAAAACCTACATGGCATTTGGTGAATTTTGAAATTGCTCAGTGTCATGGCATTTGGTGAATTTTGAAATTGCTCAGTGGCATTTCATGAAATAAACGTGTGTATATATATATATATATATATATACACATGTACGACATAAGTACATAGATACGGAGTACATTACAAGGATGGTTTAAAAGGATTACGAACACTAAGCCAAAGTAATATTCACAACATATAAACAAAGCAAACACCATCTGCTTCTGCATACATTACAATACAAGGATGATTATTATTTATTACCATTCATATATTTATTAGATGTTTGAGCTTAGGAGACACAGGCGTACCCTCTCCTGTTTTTTATTAGATTATCTCGACAGTCGACGTACTTGAATCATCCGTTAACGATCTCTCCACCTGAAACATAAACTAGTTAATTAGGCGGCTGTGCTGTGCTTAAACTTATTTTTGCAACAATTCGTTTATTGCAAGAGTTATGTTTATATCGATATGGGACGACGGCAATAAATTCAAAAATACATAAAATTATTCAATGATGCATACCATTTGGATGAAGGACTTGGCCTGTGAAATAGGATGAACACTCGTTGCTTGCAAGAAATACAAAAGATGGAGCGACTTCAAAAGGCTCCGCGGCTCTATCCATAGGCGCATAAGAACCTAAATTCACAACCTGTTCAACAGGCAGAGATGCAACCTGAAGGGAAGTCCAAATGGGGCCTGGTGCTACCCCATTTACTCGAATTTCTCGTTTGATGAGTTGAAGACCGAGGCTTCTAGTGAAGCTAACAAGAGCTCCTTTGGTGCAGCTGTAGTCAAGTAGTGTATCCTCACCCTTGTATGCTGTGACGGAGGTTGCGTTGATAATGCTGCTTCCTTCTTTCATATGCTTTAGTGAGTGCCTTCGTTCGTAAGGAATCATATTGTGTTAGCATCATAACATACCACAGAGTTGAAAATCCTACTATGATGATATGAAGTCATATGGTGGAGGGTGTCTTATACATATAACGATTGTTTTGCTGCAGATTTATTATTATATGGATAGTTTTCCATTGCTTTTCTAACAAGGATGGTATCGTAGGGGTGTTTATTAAGTGTTAGATTTGGGTTAGAGCCCCATCCATTGAAATCAAATCCAATCAAATCCGAATAAATATATGATTTTGAAATATGGATTCTAGGTCATTTCAATTTGAATTTCTACCAAATCAACCCCTGGCCTGATAGTTAGATCCAAAATTTGAATGTATATAATCCTTTTATTCAAGTTTTCTTTGATAATGCCATAAAATATTAAATTAGAAATTGGTTTGATGATTGTTTAACACAAATAATTCATCAATAACTATTTTTTTTAAAGTGAATTTGAGGGAGTGGAAGTGTATTTTTAAAATAAAATTACGACCTAAGAAAAGTTTGGTTGTTTTTGTGTATTTGATCCAAATATATTAGGTTCAATCCAATTCGATATAAAATTCTAATTTTTCAAAAAAAATTTGATTCGATGCAATCCATTTTAAAATAAGAACAATTCAAATTAGAAGTTTGGTTTGGATTGAATTTGCTTTTATTTTTACTCCGTATATAAGAATAATAACACGTGGTATAACCATTAACTTGTTGGTAGTGGACCTAAGCTAGTGGTCCTAAAGAATACCCCAACTCCCTATTATTAATGTATAAAAATGGAAGTTAACTAGATTATTGATATGTTGAAACACGTTTCCTATTATAGATTAGACTAAATAAGTCGTTTTATTACATTTTTTTTTTCCTTGTATTATAAATTTATAACCATTTATAATACAAATGTCCTTAAAACTTATGCAAAAGACTACACCATTTTGATTTCGTTTAAAAATTCATTCAATAAATTAGTGATTATTATTTCGATATAAAAAAATTATTATTTCGATAAAAACTATTTCTTAATCTAGATCACTCTTGTAATTAGCTCATGGAATGAATACTTACTTTGCCAAGAAGAAACTAGCGAAGAAGTTGATTTCAAATGTCGTTCTTAGTTGTTCCTCTGTTATTTCTTCGATTCTCTCAGCATAGTATTGTACTCCTGCGTTATTCACTAAGACATCAATGCCTCCAAAGTGGCTAACCACCTTATCAACCACATACTTGCATTCCTTTTCGCCCCGGCGGAGATCAGCTGGAATGGCAATAGGTTCACCTGCATCATTTTGTTTGGCCGCTTCTCTTATCAAAGCCAAGGCGTCATCGGTATCTTTATCCTCCGGCCCTTTAACGTATGTAAAAGCAACAGTTGCACCTTCGAGTGCAAAATAGTAACAAACTGCTCTTCCTATCCCCGAATCACCTCCTGTTACTAATGCTACCTTTCCCTATACACATAATACAATAATAGACAACAATTGGATAATCCTTTGATCATAAGCTAAGGTCGAGGTATGCATGTATAAATTCCAAACATGCAAAATGGTTTGGCAAAGGCGAAGCTAAAAATGTTACTAGGCCATTGACAATAATCATGGCCAATATTCTATAATTGAGCGATACATTCATAGTTTTAGAGATAGCCATAATTTTTATTAACAAAATATTTTATGTTAAAACCGAAAATTAAATATAGTATGATTAAGAGTATATTACAAACTCAACAATTTAACCATTTATCATTGATCCACATAATTTTTTCTTTGCATACTATGATAATAAATACCAAAATTTGTGGCCCCTTATTTTCACAGGCCCTTTGCACTTGCTCACTTCACTAATTTTCATAATCACCATTGCCGTTGGGATAGTTAATAATCAACACCATACATGCACGTAAATTGAACATATATAATTAGGAAAATAACAAAAGAAATAGCACATAAAAATGCATTTATGGCTTACATGAAGCTTTTTGGAAGGTTTATATTGAGGATTGACAGATTTTGGGAGAGGATTCATCAAATATTGCTTTCCTGGTTGAGAATCTTGTGTTTGTGGTGGGAATTTTCCGCCTTTGCTCGTCATTTTTGCTTGTTTTCTTACTTGATATTCTAATGACGATGTAGCTGATCAATTGCTCTTATAAGAGATAGCAAAGAAAGGCCTTGTTAGCAATTAGATAGAACAACCTATTTAACTAAATATATAATCAAATGTCACATAACATGTTATAGAGAGGTAGTTGTCAATGTCATAAATGTTTTAATGATTTTGAGACTTTTTTGGCCACGGTCATACTTTTTTTTAATACATTAACAAAATTAAGAATCCTTATAAATAGTACATATCTCAGAGTAGTTCAATTAAAAGGAGTAGTGCCTTGATGCATTTGTCACTTGTTAGATCACGAAGATCTGTTTTCTCCGTTTCTTTAATTGCAACAATTAATGTTTTTGAAAGTTTAATTTATAAAATATTGCAACATTACCATAATTGCAAATGCATTTTATCTATCTTTTTCTTCATTATATGGATCTCTTTTTTTTTTTTATTTATTTATTTATTTATTTATTTTTTTAATTTTCTCTATCTTTAAATTAATCATCTTCAATTCTTTGTTATTAATTTGTGAGTTGAAAACTAGTGCAATGGCAAACGGCCAACTTCAAATGCACATATCTCTCAATCTAGAAGTGATATTAACGTGATTAAAGTTGAAGGTGATAGCTTGTTTCAAGAGTTTTCCAACGATAAGCCACATGCTTATTCTGATAGAAAGTGAGAAAGTTATGGTTGTTTTACGAAAAAATTTCTAAGTTGGAGGAAAGGGGCACGGACGTGCCTTGCATAGCACGGCCATACCTGGTCAAGTGAAGAGGTTTTTGCATCGTAATTTCAGGTGCATGCACTTACGACGGCTACTAATGATCTCCTTGAGCAATAATTTATATAAGGAACTGTTATGTGGATAATTGTACTGCTCATATTGATTACCCTAGCTAATTCAAGCCAATATGTAACTCCACTTGAGATATTTTGTGAGATGGAGAGCGATGTATTTTCTTTGTTTGATCTCTTGTTTATCCACTAAGATAGCTAATAAGAAAATAGTGCACCTTGTGAAGAACGTAGGTCATGTTGATCGAATCACGGTTATATGTGTGTTCATATCATGTATATTCTACATTATTTCTCAAATTTACGTTTTATATATTGTTATCTACTTGTCTATATTTTGGTGGTTGTAGATGCTATATTTGGTGTGATGGATCGGAGGTGATTAATTATGTGCTCTCATTTTAATTAACACTTTTTAAAAGTTTTTTCTTGGAAAATGTGCAAGGGATTTTAGTGGGTACAAAATAAGAAACAGAGGTAGTATATGTAATATGACGTTGGTTTATTTGCAACTACTTTTTCTTGTTTCTAGATGTTTGTTTGACTTATTTATATAATATAAGCAATTGCGTGCGTGTGTGTGCAATATAAGAAATCTATTAGGCTCTATTCTTTTTTTTTTTTTTTAAGTCAGGCTCTATTCTGCTCTTTATTGGCAAAAGAAAAACAATAAATATTAGTGGTTGCAAATTTGAAAAACTGTTGATAAAAAATATATTAGTAATAAAAAAATTAATGAAAATAAAAATTGTTATAACAAAATTGTTGACAAAGTCTATCATGTAGTTTTATTGTTTTTATTGAATAATTTTTTTTAAAAAAAAACAGTTGATAAGTACTTGTATAATTGTACAGAGTATTATCTTAAAAAAAAAACATAAGAGAGTAGGTTTTATTTTTACTAAAATATAAATTTAGGATGGCAGTTTTTTTTTTTAAAAAAAAAAGAAGAAGAAGAAGTTGGAAAGGGGTAATTTGGGAAGTGAAATTTTCCACCCAAAACTCCTCTTCACTTTAGATATTACATAGATATAGATAGATAGATAGATAGATTAGTCTCTAAATTTGTTTCTAGGAGATTTTTAAAATTTTGAGCGATTGTAAGAAAAAAGGTGAATAATGTAAGCAAAAAAGCAAAATGAGATTGATTGTAAGAAAAATTAAAGTGGATAAATAAAGAGAGAAAGAGTGAAAATGTATACTCCCTCCTTTTTTTTTAAATCTTTCTACTTTTCGTTTTGACATTTTCTTTTTTAAACTTTCAACTTTTATATTATTTCTTTTATAGTAGGAAAATTTTCACTTTTATCACTCCTTATCCCACCACATGTTCCACATAAAATTTTATCATAATGAAGGTTCCTAAACATCTTTCTTTGGCTGACCTACAAAGTAAAAATAGGGAGTCACTTTAACTTAATACTCCAGTTGCATGAATAGGAAATGAAAATTTAAAATTTTCAAAACGGGGGGATTAGATAATATGGACACGAGGAGTAAGGGTAAGAGTTTGTCAAAATTTGAACTAAGTAAAGGTGAATCAATTTTTTAAAACACCCAAATCTAGAAAATGTACGTATGACATTATAATTCATTATTTTGGGGACAGATGGAGCATAATAATATCATGTCCAAATTGTAGAATGTTTTTTCAATTACTCCACCAATATACGTAGCAATATTATTATTTTATAATACAGAGTACATTATATAAACCCTAGACTCCTCTTCTTCTCTTCTCTCTCCTACACTCTAGCTTCTATTATTGTTAATTTTGAAGGGGTTTTTATCAAATCTCACCGATGCGTGGAAAGCCCCACATTTTGTTTTTTTAATTGTTTTTGTTTCTTAGGATTTAGTAACATCTTCCTTGGAAGAAAAATATATATTAATCTCATTCGATAGACATGGTTTTTTCAATATCCTTCAAAAGATAGGATTTTTCGAACTTCTTCTAAAGATAAGATTATATTTGCGTTTGATATGGTCTCCAGTTTTGCAGGACTGCGATTGATTATTGCTCAGATTCGGGTTATAAAATCGATCATCACAAGAATTTTCTTTCTGACAAAATTATGAAGCGACGACAAATCCACTCAAAAGTTGTATTAGACAATAAATTGAATCGAGAATGTGTCAAATTGTTAAATCTATGCATTTAGATTCTTAGTCGTACCCCGGTCAATTCTTGTTTGATTATGTTAAATCTGTTTTCATCATTGTTAATTGTCAATTGTAGTTGTCATATAACTATATTATACACTTTAGCCTTATATAATGTGGGATCATTTAGGAAACCTGTCAAAAAAAAAAAAAAAAAAAAAAAAACCCTCATTATTTTTTTTTAATACACTTTTGCCTTATTCTATTTCTTCATAATTAAAGAAGAAATAGCCTAGATGTGTCAATTCGGATTATCAGATCGAGTCAAATAAGGTCGGGTCGGATCGGGTCAATTTTTAAAGTTAAGTCATGCTAAATTATTATGTCCACGTGAGTCCAAATCTAAATCGGATATTTTCCGCATTGATTTTGAATCGAGTCGGATCGGGTGTGGTTTTGACACCTCTTAATAGCCCTCATGGGTTGTCCCTCTATCTTTCATTGAATAAAGGTGATGCGATAAAATGAGTATTAAAACGAAATAAAGATACTATTCGTACGGGTTAGAAAATAATACCAGTACGAAGTAATTGACAATGTATCTATACGTTTAAGATGGAGCTAGTCCATCGATTAGTTAATGCAAATTATATTATATAAGCAATAGTAAATTAAGCTATTCTGATTTGTACGTAGTGCTATTTGGAGTCAACGTGTGTATTAATATAATTGGAAATCTTTCACGGAATGTCTAGAAATTATTACTCCGTAATATAAGTCGTATTTCAAACTCATGCATGAGGATGATATCAAACGACTGCTTGGCCATTACAGAGGATGACATTTAGCAATTAGCAATATCTAACCAATTGATTGTTGGTGCAGCGGTGATTGAGGTTGCACTCATTAGAGAGATCATGTGGTTGATTCCTTGCAATAACAATTGAAAGGGGACTGAAACCTAATCACCTAGAATTGAGCCCATAATTGAATCTGACTGATTACATTATATTACAAATTAAATGTATACAACGCGAATTTGAAGTGCATAAATAATACATTTACTGTAAGCCTCTATACTCTTCACTTTATTTTTATTGAATTTAAATTAATATTACTGAATTGAAACTATTTTTACTGACATTAAATTGTATTTGTTGACTTTAGAGGTTTTTTTTTAATTTTTTTTAATTTTTAATTTTTAATTTTTTCATTTGTACTAAACTTAAATATATTTACTAATTTAAAAATATAATATTAATTTTTTTTGATGCTGATAGGTGTTTCGGGGTTTTTGGAGTCCCTCGGGAGACTTACAATTCCGAGAATGGATGCCGACCGTCTGTACCTGCAAAACCACGGATACTCCGGTTGGGGTGGAGTTCTGCCTCCGACGATCAAATTAGCATGTGTACGGACGGAGTTAATAAATGCGGAATGCAAAGAGTTGTCTCTTGGATTCCAAGAGAGAATATCTGCAATTAATATTGCTCAATTTGTGTAGATATTTCTGAAAGTGCAATAAATGGGTGTTTCTCCCTATTTATAGGATTTGAGAATCAATCCCCCTTTCATGACTTGAACTGCCACGTGTCGTCAGAGGATTAATTCTTTCAGAACCTCTCTGAGGCTAACACGTGTCAGCATGCAATTGGTCCACGTGGACAGGGGGGATATTTTTACCCTGAACAATAGGTGTGTCGCGCACCTAACACAAATAATACCTAACTAGCCCTCCTAATTATGTAGTAGGGTAAATCAGGGTCAATTCCATAGTGAGAAGGTTGTTTAATTAAGAATCAACTTTTACTAGTGACAAAACTAAATAAGAGATAGAATGATGGATTAAACAACTACAACTACTCAAATATCAAATATGAATTGAATCAAATCATAATAAAAACATTTAGAACTAAGTATCACCACTAGCATAATCAATACAAGTCAAATTTCTACCACAATAAATTAATTATATGTTTACAAGGAAAAGTAATCCCTAGATAGTATCAAAGGTCTCTCTCTGGAGTTATCAATGACTTCCCTCATTACAATCTAGCCTACTCTTGTGGAATCATGAAAATTAGTGACACTAAGCACATTGCATTACTCTAACTTAGCTTCCTAATCATCCATCCATCCAACTATTCTCATGATGAACTTCAAACCCTTAACCAATCTAATCAA